CCCCGGTACCAAAAAAAAAAAAATGGCCAAGTTCCTAGGAAGTCAGACTGCTTGAACTCAAATTCCAGCCCTCTCATATTTACTAGCTGTGATTTTACCAGTTTCTTGGTTTCTTCAACTATAAAATGGCCCACCCTACCTCAGGGAGCTGCTACAGGAATGGACTGAATTAATATATAAAAAGAACTTAAACCAGTACCTAGCATAAAATATGAACAATAAATATTAGTTTGGTTGGAAGGGGGGTGCTGGAGACTGAACCCAGAGCCTCATACATGCTGGGCAAGTGTTCTACCACTGGGCTATATCCCCAGCACCTAAATATTAGTTTTTATTAGCAATAGACATGCCTAGAAACATGGCAGTAAATATTTTAATTCAGAAATAAAGGTTACTAGCTGGGAGTGGTAGCACACGCCTATAATACCAGCACTCAGGAGGCAGAGGCATGAGGATCACTGCGAGTTTGAGACTAGCCTGGGTTACATAGTGAGTTCAAGGCCAGCCTGAACTACAAAGTGAAACCTTGTCTCAAAAAACCAAAAAAAAAAAGAAATAAAGGTTACTATGATACTGGTTTGCTCTAGAGAACTAACCATGCTAACTAACAGTTGATGGGGGAATGAAACATAGAAAAAATATTTTATTTGGGGGTTTTTGTTGTTGTTGTTGTTGTTTTTTCTGGTGCTGGGGATGGAACTCGGGACCTTGTGCTTATGAGGCAGGCGGCTGAACCACTGAGCTAAATCCCCGGCCATAGAAAAAAGATTTTAAAACCAGCTCTGAGTGTAAGGGGAACAGAGCTCAAAATCAGAGCCTCAGCGCTCCAGAGCACAGCTCCACACACTAGATTTCTTGGTTTGTACATCACAAGGGTTCTTCCCTTTGGGTAAGATAATTCTTAGCAGCTGTCATTGAAACCTTAAATGTGCATGGACCACTAATTGACAATTATTATTTAAGAACAGTTCACAAAAAGAATAATAATTTGCCATACAGAAGGAAAGGGGGAGGAAAAAAATTTAAAAACAAAATATAAATCAAAACGCAATCCTGGGGCCGGGGATTTAGCTCAGTGGTTCCATCACCTGCCTTGCAAGTGCAAGGTCCAGAGTTTGATCCCCGGTACCAAAAAAAAAAAAAAAGGCAATCCCTAGAATTTTATTTTATTTTTTTTGGTACCAGGGATCGAACTCGGGACCTTGCGTTTGCAAGGCAGGTGATGGAACCACTGAGCTAAACCCCTGGCCCAATCCCTAGCATGTTAAAACAAACTAAAACAAACATCAATTTGTGGCAATAACTACACAGAAATAATTACTTCAAAGAACTTTATAAAGTATTATGTATTATATATTTTGACTGTTCATTCCTAGTCGAATGTATTCTAAGGACATAAAAAAACCACTAAGACATCTAAAACTGTTTAGTGGTCTTACTGTTACTATCAGGTTTAGAATACTTTGGTTTCTCTTCAGATATAAATTTCAGTATTCATTTTTTGCCTTTTACTAGCAGGGTTTTTTTTTGTTTTGTTTCGTTTTGTTTTCGGTACTGGGGATTGAACTCAGGTCCTTTTGCTTGCGGGTCAGGAAGCAGAACCACTGAGCTAAATCCCAAGCCCACTAGCAGGTTTAGAATTGTGTTAAAATTATTATAACTACATTGTAAGATGAAGCAAATTACTATGGCGCTATCTTTAGGAAACAGGATTTTCAGTCAAAAAGAAAAGATTGTAAGTATAAAATCAAGGAAATTAAATAAAAGCCCTGTACGCTATAAATAATAATAATAATAATAATAATAATAATAATAATGATTTGCTGAAATACAGGACAAAAATTAGTTGTGGGGATACAACACAGTGATAGAGCACTTGCTTATTAGCACGTGCAAGGCCCTACATTTGATCCACAACTCTGCCAAAAGGAAAAAGAGGAAAAGGAAAACAAATTAGAGCCTTTGTAGGAAATTTTAAACAAATAAAACATAAAGCTAAATATTTAGAGAACTGTCCAAAATTCCCTAATCTTTCTGGGTTTTTTTTCTATAGCATCTTTTTTTGGTTTGTTTTTGTTTTTTTATTTGGTACCGGGGATTGAACTCCAGTCCTGCACCAAAACTGCTGAGCTAAATCCCCGGCCCTTTTTTTGTTTTTCTAATGCTGTTAATTTAAAGGGAAGAAAAGAGGGAAGGAGGAGGAGGAGGAAGAGGAGGAGGAGGAG